AATAGTTTAACATATTTCTAGTATCTTTATAGACAAATGCACTTTATTAATTCTTTATGAGAATTGGTCAGTGAAAGACTGGTCAGAGAAATTAACAATATAACTACAAAAATGCTATTTCTCTCCCCTTTCAAAGTTCTTTCAGCTATGGTTCAAAAATGAGAGGAGTTTGGGAGATATTCAATCACAAGCAATATATAAAATAAATGCTAAAATCCAAGAAAAAAAAAAAGTAATTGAAAATTTTCTAGTTAGAAAAATCAGAAAATTTCAGTGGCACTGTTAATATTTGCAACGATACCATAAATGCAAGGAGAACTTGTTGGTAAGTTGCCTTCCGTCTTACCAAGATACGGGCAGGAATGGATGCAGACTCTAACTGACGGGACTTCAAATCATGATGAAAAGAGGGGATGGGAGAAAGCAGAAATCTCATGTCAAAACTGTGTCCATCTTTGGTTGTCTTTCTGCTTCTAGTAGAGACATGTTCACCTCTACTTCAGCACTGCCATCACTTCCCACAGAAGGGAGTCACATTCTCAGACACAGAATACATAACTGTTTCAGCCAAGAGGGGAAAAAATAAATAAAAAAACACTGTCTCAAGAAGGCTACAAGAATTTGGATATTTCTGAGTATTCTACATTGCAATACATTTAACTCCATGTTTCACCATACAGCTGAAAAGTAAAAAAAAAAATGAAAGATGAAAGCCCTATCACATTAGCTCCCGAAGAATAATTAACATCTGTTATTCTGATAGTAGAGCAGGGATTGCAATGATTTCCTCCACCCTCATCACCTGTAAATCTATGAGCCATCTCTTGCTCATCCCTTTGCAATAAATTTGTGAGTGCTATGGTATACTCTAACTTGGCAGGGCTTTCACCTGGGAAATTATTCCACTGCCTTCTTTACTTCAGTTTTTGTGTCAGTGAATCTCCTTTAGCCTTTCTTAGTTTCATCTCATTACATCTGGGTTCACCACCCTTGCTGCCCATCAGTGTGTTCTCTTCCCTCTTTCTGGTTTCATTTTATACCTTTGCACTGATGACCCAGCACCAAAGAATCCACTCCAGGCTGGGTCAGGGATGAGGGTATCAGAATTTAACCACTGGGACTTGGCTTGGAAAGAGAAAATGGTGGGAAATATTTGCATCTGTATTGCATGATGAGAGTTTAGGCTGGTATCCGGGCTTATTTAGAAGAGCCTCTAGATGGATTGCTAAAGAATTGGAAAGCTGGCTTGGAAGAATGACATTGTGAAGATAAAAAGGTATGTAGTCCCTAAGAAATGAAGGAAACCATGGCTAGACTTTTTTATTCAAAACCTTCCTGGATACGACCCTGTGCAACGTGCTCTAGGTGTCCCTGCTTGAGCAGAAGAGTTGGACTAGATGATCTCTAGAGGTCCCTTCCAATCTCAGTGATTCTGTGACTCTCAGTTGTGGGGGACAGCATTGGCTCTAGTCATCCCAGCTCCCACAGGCTCACAGAATTGCTGAGGTTGGTGCCTCTGGAGATCATCTAGCCCAACCTCATGCTCAGGGCAGAGTCAACAAGAGCAGGTTGCTCAGAACCATGTCCAGTCAGACTTTGAATATCTCCAAGGATGGACACTCCACAACCTCTCTGGGCAACCTCTTCCAACACCTTCACAGGAAAAATATTTTCTGTTATATTGAAGCAGAAATGCTTGTTTTGTATCCATTGCCTCTTGTTCTTTCACTAGTCACCACTGGCAAAGAGTCTTGACTTCACATTCTTTAATCCCCCATCAGGTATTTATACACACAAGACCACCAGAGCCTTCTCTCCTCTGGTCTTAAAAAGTCCAGCTCTCTCATCTTCTCCTTGTATGCTCCAGATGCTCCAAGCCCTCTAAACATCCTCATGGTCCTTTGCTGGACTCAATCCAGTATGTCCATGTCTGTCTGCTACTGGTGAGCCCAGAATGGGACACATTGTACAGATGCACACAGAGCCAGGAAATCCTTTCTGTGCTAATTCCAGTATCAAATGAGAACGCATGTCCTAAAGACTCTAGAAAAGAGGTTCTGCTGGCAACACTTACCCCAGTGGAGCACAGCAGGCTGTTGGCTTGCTTTGTCTCGAGGGCTAGCTCATGGTCAACCTATTCACCAAGTGCCCCTAGGGGCTTTTCTGCCAAGCTGTTTTCCAACCAGTCAGTCCCCAGTCTGTGCTGGTACCTGGGGTTACTCCTCCCCAGGGACATGACTAGACCTGAAGGTTCCTTTGCTGACCTTCAGGACATTCCTATCAGCCCACTTCTCCCATCCATCAAGGTCGCTTTAAATGACAGTACAACTATCTGCTTTATCAATCACTTCTAGCTTTGTATTATATTTGCACACCTGACGAGGGTGCACTTTTTCCCATTGTCTAAATCATTGAAGAAGATGTTAAATAGTATTGGACTCTGCACCATATGGCCCCTCAAGAGGGACCCAGAGGAGGCAGCCTTGGATCAAGGCACAGTAGCAGTGAATTTTTGGGTTGCCTCAGTGTTTTGTCACATCGAGGCTCTGTGTCAGCATGAGGCAGGGATGATAAAAACTCTGCCTCACTACACTTGGTCTGGGATCGTCCAGAATCATGCACCTATTTTTTTTTCTATATATGTATTTTATTTTTAACTGTCACACCAAGTATCCAGCTATTTCTGTAGGAATGTAAGTGCTGGAAATTTGGAGCGGGGAACATTTGCTAATGTATTTTAAAGTGCCGTTCTGTATCTGTGGTTTGAAAATGGCAACTGCTGGATATGGTGCTATTTGGACTGTGGGAATAAGTCCTTTTTCCCAGGAAGCTGAATTAAGTCATTCCCAACCCAGAATAAACAGTACAAGTATCAAATAAAAATAAGCATTGAAGTTCCTTTATTCCCTCCTTGAAGAATAGAGTCGAGTCACTTGTTAAGTCAAAGGCTTCAATTCTGAATTTCTTTTAGCAAAATCTTCTAGGCCAGACACTTTCAACTGTTTGATGCTGTTCAGAGTGCCCCAGGCAGTGTTCTTGTTTGTCTTGGCTGTTCTGCTGATAAGGAACAAACAAAGCACGGTCAAAATCTTTCATCAAACTTTTTAAACACAGTTTATTTACATTCTTCCTCTATCACATTATGAACTGGGTGACAGTGCACAGAACTAATATTTCACACAGCATTATAACTAATGAACAGCAAAGAACTGAACAGAGGTTTGTTTTCCAAACTTTTTTTTTACACATATCTCTTTCAGGAATACCATTACATTCTCAAACCTGATGGAATCATTTCAGAACCAAAGGAGAAACTTCCTTTATTTTCAGTAGCAAAAGCCCCCTTTCTTCCTGCCCATCTGGACTGTACAAAATTGTATTCGATTGCCCTCTAGTGGATCAAGTAAAATTTGCCTCTGATTACCTCAGTTTATTGGCCTTTTATGACCACTCACAAAAGCATAAAAATTACATTTTTTTTTCCTGGATACCTTTATGGATATTCTCCCTCAGATGAGGGACTAAAATTGTGTGCTGTCTGGCAGAACAGACTCTGAAAACAAAGCCGTGCTCCCTGGTCAACAGTTAAATAAAGCCTGTTTTGTTTATTTCTTTTGTCCTGTAGTTTATCACCTTCTCTGCCATCATAAACATGAGAATGTATGATGTCCCTTTGTGGGCTGCTTATAGTGCTGATCAACATTTTACTCTGCCTATTTTTCCCCTAAATGTGACTATAGAGAAAATCCAATGTTTTTAACAAAAAGTAATTTCTCTCTTTCAGTCAACCTCTCTTATGCTGGTCACTCCAATGTTCTCTATGAGCTATCCATTTTCAAGAACTTTTAACAATTTATGCGGCAGAACAGGTAGGTGATGATGTATTTCTCCTGAAGTTGAAAAAGGGGGGTTACCTGAGTTCTAAATTCCAGGGTGTTTCTATCTCACTGTCTATCTATCTGTTCCTCCATCCATGCATCCATAAGTAGCAGTTTCATTTTCTAGTATGGAGGAATCATAATAACTCAAATCATCTCACGTGATCTCATGACACAGTGCTCCTAAGTTTTGTGTTCCTGTACTCCCTACCACCCTGGAACTATAGCTGTAGGTATTCAAAGGTTCCCTGGTAGTTATTTTATGGAGGCCACCATTACAGATATGACTTTGTTTTACAAGAAGCAGTAATAAAATATGAGTAACTTAATTCCTGAATGTATGGTCTTTGTGTTCAACTGTTGCTCAGAGTAGGCAGTAAGTTTTGTCAAAGGGTGGGATATAAAGGAGGTTAATAGGAGATAAGAAACTGCTTTTTAAGAATCTGGCTATGAGTTAGTTACATACTGGAATGAGAAGTTAGTCCCTGACTCTGCTACTGAAAGTTTATGTGAGCACACTACCCGGGTATAAAAAGCCTCCCATGACAGGAACGAGGCTTGCTTACAACTGTCTCCCATGCTGCTGTGCCTGAAATTCCCATTCTATCACCTCGTGCACTTGCTTTGTGCATCTCACTTAAGAGCTTTGTGGTCACAGGAGGGAGGGAGCTGGGACTCATCTGAATAATATATTTTCTAGATGGTCCCCTATGCTCAAGGAGAACCACTCAGCTGTTCCATTTGTATGGGTAAATTACAACCCTATGACAGCATCCTCAGATCAAACTGACAGCTCTAGCCTGTGCTACCAGACATACGGAGTTTTTTATTCTCTGGCACTGCCGTAACCCAGAAATGGAAACTAGCATCAGGGCTGCAGGGCAAGTCAAGGCCTCTGGGGTCATCAGGATTTGTGTCTCTTAATTCTTCTTATTTGTCACCATCAACATGTCTCACACTGTTTGTCTTCATGTCTAATCACTTTGCTTTGCTTTGCAGGAAAATACAGAGTATCCTCTTCAGAGCCATCCACCTCTTCCTCTGAAAACACTTCCAAGTTATATTCTTTGCTGAACTGAGGCACTGCAAATGCTAAGCAATGAACCTATAAAAAGGCCCATGCCCTTTCTGAGTTGCAAGCAAAAAGCATTTGTGCGTCATCAGGAAGCGACTGCTTCACATTGACTAAACTGTTCCTTGGTGCATACTTCTGGAATGATCCTTTCTGGTTAATGTGTAAGGCAGGCAAGCTTTGTGAGGTGGGATTTCACATTCTGCCAATGCCAGAAGAGACTACAAGACATTTCAAACGTGGAAGGATTTGAAGGCCTTCAAGTGTCAGGAAAGACATCGAGACTGAAGAATTCTCAGCCTCTACGAGGGTGCTTAGCACTGCGCAGTACTGAGCCATAAAACGCAGTGCCGTCACAGCTGTCGTCCAGCAATTTTAGTATTTCCCATTGCAAATTCTCTGAACAATGTCAAAAGCCTCATTAGATACACAAATACCTCAGAGCTTCTCATCCACCCGCCTATTGGGAGGCTGAAACAGCCGAAGGAGACAGTGCTCTGCATTTTCTATTTAAGACTGTGTGGAACCAAAGATTCACAGCTGAGAAGGTCCATTTTGGATCTTCTCTTTTGAGTCAGATAAAAATGAAGACCATGATGATTCCTGCATGGTTAGTTTTCATATGGGATACACCAAAAACTTCATGTGGCATGTTTTTAAGATAAGGAAGCAAACTTTATATCCGTAACTACAATCATCCCTCCCTTGATATGTAATGTGATGAAAGGTGGTTGCTGCCCTTTACCTCAGAGGGCTGTATTTATTTAGTATAACATACAAAAGGACTCTCATATATGTCTGTATTTTTAGGTCTTCTGTTACTTACCAGAACAGACTCATGCTTGGAGGGCTCAGAGAGTCAATTCTAGAGTGAAAAGAAACAATCATGTGCCAGGCAGGATGAAAGGTTCTATATAAATTATTGCTCTAATGCTACATTTGTGGAATCAGTTATTTCCAAGTCCCCATGCCTTTAAAGCAGGGTTCAGAAGTGTTAAGCAGAGTGTTATCCAAGTGCAAAGTCTTTGTAGCACAAATGTTAAGGTATGTGCAAAATGTTGAGAAATGTGCAAAATAGGATAGAAGGAATTGCGCAAATGATGATGTTTTAGAATTGGGGCCAATATCCAATATTGTTGTCGGGAGGTGCAGCCCCATTTCGGTTCCTGGGAAAACCAGGCCTAACTTTGGGGGAAAACGTTGTTTTCAGTTACAGGTTAGGTATGGCATTTTGAGATGGGCAGGTGCTAATGATTGAAGACAATAAACAAGCATCAACTGTTTTATTTATAAAGAAATCCTTTTGTTGTTGATGATGTTTGAAATTGTGTAGTACTGGAATACAATTACAGATTAAGAGTTGCTTGAAAATCCAGAATCTCTGAGCTGTGTGGGTAGTGGAACCTTGAACATCAGACCTTCATCTTTTCAGAAAAGCCACTTATTATTCCACATACAATTTGACTTTGGGACAGTCATTCGGTCTAAAGAAGCAGTTTCATCTGCTGCAGAAGATCATCCCACTCTTTCAGAGGGTTAAGGCACTTAACTGTGCATTATGAGCCCCTACAGACAGCCGAGCTCCAGCACAACTTATCTTTGCAGCCATTTCATCTCTGGGGTTTCAGCGCATCTCCATCACACAAACCTGGGTCTAGACTGCAGGTGAATGCCTGGAATTCACTTTTTCTTCAGGATAAGGAGTCCTAATCCTCATCATTCCTCCCAGGCACACCTCCCTCTGTGTGCCCACTCTCTCCTTGTCCCCTTTCCCTCCTTCATTCTCCCTTCTCCCACCCCTCTGTCTCTCTCCTCTCCCTCTTTCCTTCCTTTCCCCCCTCTCTCTCCTCCTTCTTTCTCCCTGTCTCTCTCACCTCTCTCCCTGTCTCTCCCTCTCTACCCTCCCTCAAACCGGTCCCTTTTCGCTCCTTTTCTTCCCCGCGCCGGTGGGAAGGGCGGCCCGGGCGGCGCAGCCGGCACCCGCCTCCCGCCCTTCCCCTCAGGGCGGCGGCCAACGGCCCTCGGCGGCGCCTGGCAACGGCCGCAACGGCTCCTGCGCGGAGCCACCTGCTGGAGAAAACGAGGATCAAAACCCTTCAGATTTCACATTTCATATTTCAGCAACAACATTTAGCAGCCGAAGTTCACAGGAGCTTCATCACCTAAACTACCAGCAACAGAGGGCTCTGATGTGGTGATGGGGTTTCTTAGCAGTACGGTAGTGCGAAACCCACAGGGACTCATGGATAGACTTGTCTGTTTGATTCGTGTTTAGGGGAAGTCTCCTCCAGGTGCAACAGGTCCCAGACCAGCACCCAGGAGCCTGAAACGCCATGCAGAAGAAATGGAGCAGCTCTTTGCAAGTGGAGGGTGGTGGGGAGAGTTCATCCCCGGCAGCCTTGGGCTGCATCCACCATTTAAGTGGAAGTGGATTCCCACCTTCATCCTCACCACACACTTGCCTCATGCTCTGCATTCCAGCTTCAGCATGGCCATGATCTCCTGGCCTTCCCTGCCTCCCTTGCTTGGGATGAGGTCCTGAAGGTAAAGTTCCTGCTCTACACCCTGAGTTCTTGTGCAGTGAATGTGAAATAGTGGTGGGAATGAGCGGGAATCCACTCCTCAACTTGGAGGGTCCCCTCAACTTGCTTCAGGTTGAGTTTCAGCCTCTTCTTCCATAAGCTTTCAAACTCAGTTTTGTTGCACCAGTTTCTGCAGGCCCAGCACCACTGAAGGTCACTTGTCCCTCAGCCTGGTGAGTGAACGGCAGCAGCCGCTGTTCCGCTTTGGAGGTACCCGCAGGTGTCCAGTCCTCTGCTTAATGGATCTGGCTCCTGCATGCAGAACTAACTGCAAATCAACTGGCTTGGTGTATTTTGGGAGTAGGAATCACTCTCTGCTCCAAAGACTCCTGCCCAGCGCTTCATTTACACTGGCACTGTGGTTTCAAAGGCATCTAGCTCAGCAGGGGGCTTTATAATGGTGCCCGTTCCCAGGCACTGAGCTCTCTACTTGCCTGAAGCAGCTGCTACAGCTTCTCTGGTAGCTCCTGGGCACACACAGGGCTGGAGAGGGTGGTCAGTGGGCTAGGTGTGCTTGCTTGTGAGAGCAGGAGGGAGCAAGGAGGTGAGGAGGCAGCCCAGGCTTCCCTTTTGTTCTGGAGCAGGAAGCCCAGGTGAGCAGACCCCAAGTGCTCAAACGAGGTGGAGAGCAGAGAGGGACCATGGGGCCAGGGCTCCACCAGTGGACAAAAAACAAAGGGTCTTAAGAGTGTGTGAGCAGCACATGCTGGACATGTCTTGGACCTTTTTTGCACTGACCTTGGACCTGCTCTTTGTGGCCCCCAGCCCTCTCCCTTCCTTGGCCTCGTCTGTGCTTCAGTGCCATGAAGACTTTGCAAGCCCAAGCCCGCAGGCCAAGTGCCAGCATACCGTGCACTCCCTGATGGCTCTGACACAAGCAGGCTTTCTGTGGTGGTGCCATGGTGTCTGGACAGGCAGCAGCCTGCATGGGAGGCTTGGGAAAGTGTCTGGTTTGTGTTATGGGGACCCTCTGAGAAATGCCTTTCTTGGGTCTGGTGCCTCCTTGAAGGCAACATCCAGCATAATACTCAAGGATGCAGCAGCACGTTGGCAGCACACAACAGGTCGTGCTGCCTGCTGCCTGCTGACTTGACATGCTGCCACTCTCCGGTATGCATTGGGTTGGTGTTCCCATGCCCTCGCAGCCTGCACGCTCACTGCTTTGCACGCAGCTCTGGCTGCACAGGCTCTCTCGCTGCTGGGAACCCAGCTCCTGCTCAGTCCCATGTCCCACCGTGATGCTCTATCCCAGCCGGCCATGGGTGGCTGCAGTCCAAGGAGCACTGCCCCAAGTCATGCCCAGAAGGGAGCAGATACTGACTGGGGTGGATGCACTCTGCCTGCCACAGCATTTTCAAGTCATTTGAGAGTGGCTTCCCAATGCCAGTGACCAGTGGCTGCTTCCACATGAGGGCAGGCCCTCAGGTGCCATGGACTTGCCTGTGTACAGCTGACTTAAGAGTTTGCTCGCCTTCTGTTGTTGTGTGTAGGAGAAGGCTTCCTTGGTGCAGCATTTTGTGGTAGTGTTGGGTCCAGATGAGAAGAAGAAGCTGGCATCAGATCATCACTGGCTCCAGAGGTTTCTTCTCAGGTTGGGAGTGAGGGGGCAGGCAGGGGAGAAGGAATTGCCATGATTCCCAGTTGCACAGGCTGCAGGTGCAAGGCCCCAGCACAAAAAAGCCTGCATCTGCTCAGGGTGAGGACAGCAGCAAGGAGGCAGCAGGTGCCCTCTGCCAGCGCTCCTGCTTCAGCCCTACAGCCAAGAGCCAGAGCAGGGAGTGAGACCTCCAAAGAAGGAGAAGTGGGCAGTAACCTGGGTGGAGGCTGAGGGAAGGTGAAGTAAGCAAGACCGGGAGGCCAAGCAGCACCTCATGCCTGCTGATGCCTGTCAAGGACAGAGTAGATCTCTGCACAAAGGAGCGGCCGTCGAGTCAAGAGCAAGGCAAGGGCCACTGAGTAGTCCTTGCTACTGCTTGTCCTATGTTGTGAGCACCGGTGAGGCTGGCCAGGAACCCGGGACACCCCTTTCGTGGTGTTCGTGGGGCTACTTGGAAGGAGATTAAGGGAGAGAAATTGTAGTGGGAATAAGTGAAAGTGAGTCCCCTCAACTTGCTTCAGGTTGAGTTTGTGAATGACTGTCAGCCATTCCTCCATAAGCTCTCAAACTCTTTTTTTTTTCACACCGTTTTCCTGCAGGCCCAGCACCCCAGAACTGAAGGACACTTGTCCCCATGCCTGAGCAGTAAGCAGCAGCAGCAGCTGTTTGGAGATACCCATGGGTGCCCAGCCCTCTGCTCTGTGAAGCTGTCTCCTGCATGGGGCAGCGCTTCACCTCTTGCAGTCTTGCTCAGTGTGGAGCAGACTCTCAGCAGGCTTTGCCAGAGCCTCAGTGTGCACAGCATTGCACACAAGGTCAAGCGGAGCCTGCAGGAGCTCTGCAGCCCCCAAGCTGCACTGGCCAGAAGGTGTCTGTGCTGGGGGCAGTGGGTCAGTGTGACGGCCATGGGTGGCAGGAGGCTCCTCTGCCCAGCTCTGTGCTGAGCTCTCCCTCGGGTGGAGAGCACGAGTCCTGGGTTGCTTTGCACAAGGAGCCCTTTTGGCTCACTGTCATCTCACCCTCCTTCCCTCTGTCTCTCTGCACCCACTGCAGCGCCCAGGACAGTCGTGCCTTCCTCACCTCAAACATCGCCAGGGCTCTTGGAGGCAGTTTGACTCTCACCTGAATGTGGCCATTCCCAAATGTCCCACATGCAAGAGCTGTGTCCAAGAACAGTTGTTCAGGTTGGTCAGTCGCTGTGATCCCAAAGACTGGATGGGCTGGTGAAGGTAGGAGAGTCTATGGGCAAAGGAGAAGCACAGGGAGAGGCCTTTAGCTGCTACTGCAAGTGCCCCTGCTTGTAGGCCTGATTCAAATCATCGAATCATAGAATCATTATGGTTGGAGAAGACCTTTGAGATCATAGAGTCCAACCATAAGCCCCTCAACACATGTCTCTAAGCATGTCACCTACATGTTCCTTGAACACTGCCAGGAATGGTGACTCCACCACTTCCTTGCGCAGCCTGTTCCAGTGCTTGACTACTCTTTCCATGTAGAAATTTTTCCAGATATCTAACCTGAACCTCTTCTGGCACAACTTGAGGCCATTTCCAGAAATGAAACGGAGAACTTGAGGGCATACATGCTTTCAACTTTCATGAAGTGATGGCAACTCCTCTCAAAAATGTTGCAGATGGATAAAGAGCAGCAACTTGGCTTCATTTCTGTTTCTGTACCGCACACATTAATTAACAAGCAGGGCGTGCATTTTTTTTTTTTGGGTCATTTGTTATATAACTCTGGACAATTTATGGGTTTGGCATGTTTCATGGGGGGCTGGAGCAGCTTGCAGAGAGTAATTGGACCCTTTGCCCATGGTCAGATCCAGACAGATAATCAGGCATGTTAAGGCATAAACTGTTAACAGATTATTTGTTTTGCTTTCAACATTCATGTCCTGACGGGGCTTTTCCAAGTTCCATTTTAGCATTTTTCAGTGCAAACTGATGTCTTTTGAACTCTTGAAAAATATGGGTCTGAGCTTTATCTTCCTGCAGCTGTTTATCTTCTAGCCATCATGGAAACGAGGACGATGGTTAGGACAATGGTTCCAGCAATTCCACCAACTGTCAGTCCCAGGATGTTTCCGTGGACCTGCATTGACTGACATCTCTCACCAGTAAAGAAGAAGGCTTGTCCTGATGGGCACCTGGGAAAATAAACCACAGATTCGGGTGTAGCAGGTGTTTTGTTCTACCCTATAGGCTTATAGGTCTCTGGGTAGTTGCCATTAGAGTGGTTCTCATCACAACGTGCCCACCTAGTGAGGAGGCATTTACATCCCCAGAAAAGCACTGCAGAGGAGGGGTTTCTGGGGCTGCTAGTAAAAAACAGTCACTGCAGTGAGGTGTTTTGTTCCTGCCGTTGTCTAAAAACCTAGTAGCTGAAACCTTCTTTGAGAACAGTAGCTCTGAATACTTAACACTGTGTTACTTAGCTCATAAAAGAATTGAGGCTGACAGAGGAGAGGTCAGTGGTACCTGCAGCTTGCTTTCCCTTTCATATTCACACAGACTCCATCATTCTGGCAAGGATTGGGGTTACATGGGTCCTGCAGGTAAGGAAGCCAGTCTTGAACAGGCTCAATATCGTGGGCTGCTCTCTTCTGCCGTTCAAGAATGAGGCCTTCCGTGATGGCAGATTGTGCAGGCTCAACAGAGACTTCAGTATTATTGAGGTGAAGCAGATCTTTCAAAGAAGGAAAGAGGAGAGAAGGACATCAGATAACAATGACTGATACTAATATGTGCACGATTCTTTATGGCAGAAGTTCATGGCCTGCCTTGTGGACCAGAAGATACTCCTTGCCCATAAACCCGTTAGAGAGCTCTTGCTGTGCCACAAGAAGTGCTGAGAATTTAAAGCACAAAATAGAAAATAATACTGAATTTATGGTAGCTATTTAGGTGAATCAGAATCATTCTGTGCTTTGGAAAACTGCTAAGTGTGGCTGCTCTTTTGAAAATGGACATAGCAGGAAAGGCTTTTTAATATGTTCATATGTTCACAGAAATGTAGATGAGCAGCGTCGAGGGTGCTTAAAGGTGTCTAAGAAGCTAACCCTCAATAAGTCATTGCTCTTTAGATTTGTGTGAACTCACAAACACTTCAGTCAATATTGCCTGAAATAAGGCAAACAATTCCTTTTTAAATTTCTTCCTGAGAGGGCTTAGAGGGCTTCTTCCTGGTAGAAGAGGACTTAGAGAGTAGAGACAATATTGAAAAGAGACAGTTAGGAAAGAGGTAGAAAAGAGTGAATCCACTTTTTTTTTTTTTTTTTTTTTTTTT